GTTTGAGAGAGACTCCAGGGACACTTTCAAGTCTCCTGGCTTGCTCTCCCTGCCTTCTTTGGTGTTAGTGTTCTATCAGTGGAATATCCGTTTTCCTCATCTATGGAAGTTTTGTGTATGCTGAGAGTGCATGTCTTGAAGGGCTGGTGTCAGGGATTTCTAACCTACCTTTCTCTTTCATTGTTCGGAGTGCTACAACTGTTTCCTCAGAATGTTTTAACAGCTTTCATTTTTTTTAAAAAAAATATTTTTTAGTTGTTGATGGACCTTTTATTTATTTATTAATTTATATGTGGTGCTGAGAATGTAACCCATTGCCTCATACATGCTAGGCAAGCACTTTACCACTGAGCTATATCCCCAGCCCCTCAACTTTTAAAAATTTATGACAGGGTTTTGCTCAGTTGCCCAGGTTAGTCTCGAATTCAAGACCCTCCTGCCTCAGCCTTCAACTTGCATTTGGCCAAGGCTTTTTTTATTTTTTATTTTTGGCACTGGGGATCAAACCCAGGGACACTTAACCACTGAGCCACATTCCCAGCCCTTTTATTTATTTTGAGACAGTGTCTTGATAAGTTGTTTAGGGCCTAAGCTGCTGAGGCTGGACTTGAAGTTGTGATCCTCCTGTCTGAGCCTTCCAAACACTGGGGTTATAGGTGTGTGACACCATACCTGGTCTGGCCAACTTTTTAAAGAATAGAGACAGGGTCTTTTTGTGTGGCCCAGGATGGCCCAAATTCCTGGGCTCAAGCAACCTATGGCGAGCAGACGAGTTGGGCCCCAGGTGCACCATCATGCCCTACTTGATGTCTTGTGTACCATATCATTTATCTCTGCTCTTGTGTCTTAAGATCTTTTTCTTCTATGCATTTGACTTTGTTTTCTTGTTCCTAAGTTGGCCATCAAAGATTATCAGTTTTTAGCCTCTCTTCTTTTTCTATTAAAAATGGAGGAAAGCTCCTATAAGGCATTGCTTTTAAAACATCCCACCGGCTTTGATGGCAAACAATTCTATCATTTAGTTCTGATAATTTTTATTTATTTTTTTAATTTTTTAACTTTTTTGGTACTGGAGATTGAACTGGTGCTTAGCCATTGAACCACATTCCCAGCCCCTTTTTGAGGGTCTCACTAAGGTGAGACCTTAGGGCCTAGCTAAGTTGCTGAGACTGGCCTGGAATTTGGGATCCTCTTGCCTCAGCCTCCAGAGTTGCTGGGATTATAGGTGTGCACCACAGTGCTTGGCAAAGAATTTTTAAATTTCTGCTAAGTCTTTTTGGATCTATGTGTCATTTTAAAGTGTATTCTTCAACTTCGCAACATACTGAGATTAAAGAACTTATCATTTTATGATTAACTTCTACTTTTTTTTCCAAATATTGTTTTAGTTGTTGATGGACCTTTATTTTATTCATTTATTCATAATGTGGTGCTGAGAGTCAAAACCAGTGCCTCACACATGCTAGGCAAGTGCTCTACCTCTGAGCCACAACCCCAGCCCAAACTTCTACCTTTTATTCTTTTTTAATTTTAGGCAGGTATCCCTACACTTTGGAATTCACTGATTGAATCAGGGCCTAACTCATGTCCAACCTTTGTGAGTATTCCATATTTGATGAGAATGCCCGTTACCAGCGTCAGATGGACAATGTCATCTGTGAGCAGGAGGGTAAGGCTGGCAATGGTTCTATCAAATTCTATATATTGTGGCTGATTCCTGCCAGCTTGGCTTATCAATAATTTAAAGAGAAGCTAAAATTTCTTCCTGTAATAATCAGTTTCTTCCTGTAGTCTATTGATTCTTGTTTGTGGATTGAGGCTGTTTAAGGGCACAAACACTTAGACTTGCAACTACTATTTTTATGCAGCAATCCTCTTCCTTGAATAATGCTTTAAAAGTTCATTCGGCTTGGTATTAAGGAAGACATATCAACTATCTTTTGATTCTGATTTGTCTTAATGATTTTTCTTTTCTTTGTTTTATTACATCTTTACCACTAATTTTTATTTACATATTAAATGGCTTAATCTTTTATAGTTTAAATCTTTGTCAGTCAACACTATTGATTTTTCTTGTGTGTTTTTCTTAGCTTGATATTATGTCTGAACCCCACCTGTGAGCACCTAAGGACCTGTGCTCAGCTGTCACGCTGTTCAATACTCAGCTGAACGACATGGCACAGGTTATCTATTCTACTCCTGACCAACTTTTTTTTTTTTTTTTTAATTATATTTAGACAATTAGTTGTTTGCTTTCGTTGACCAAAATAATGCTAAAAAAATTCTTGTGTATATCTTGTGACATAGATTTGCAAACGTGTCTTTAGGGAACAGAAGTAGAAGTGAACTTGCTGGATGGCGGGGTACACACTTCAATTTGACAAATATTGCAAAACTTATCTTACAAGGTACCAAAGCCTAGAGGAAGCCCTGCTTTGCCATATGTTTGCTGTACTTAAAAACCCCACTCATGAAATGTGTGCCTGTTAGGTCCTCTCCATGGGAAGTTCCAGCATGGAGGGGGTGCCTGCCTGTCTCTTTTGGTCTTCTTTAAGAGCTTTACCTTTGGTTGACACGTTTCTGGGTTAAAACTTACTTTTAGCTGCATTCTGGTTATGTTGTGCTCTCACCGATATTTCCCATATCCAGTGTCTTGTCTACTGGTGTGGTGTGTAAAAATGCAGCTTCATTGTGTATTGAGCCTACTCATATAAACCAAATGTTCCTAAATCCTAAAAATTTTCCCAAAGCTCCTTTGGGTTTGCTATGTATTTTTCTTTGGGAACATGCTGCTTGCTCATATTGCTACCCTGACTTTACATGTACAATCTTCACTTCTGACTGATATGTCAATCAGCACAAGGCTGGCCGTGAAGTAGGACTTTCTCCAGGCATTCCTGAGTGCTGTCTGTGAGTTTCATGCAGGGGACTCATGTGCCGATCAGCATATTCTTCCCCAGGCCTCCGAGTGAGGAGAAGGCAGCTCCGGTTCTGGCCCACAGTAGACTCTGGCAGTCATCAGCTTCACAGGCATGGACAGGAAGGGGCAGACTGGTGCTGTCTGGGACCCTCAGAGTTTCCATGTCCTCCCACAGGCTTTCTGGCCATATGTCTCCAGGACTCCCTTCTGGAGAGCTTTCCCTCCATCTGAGTGGGCTCTCTGTGGAAGCAAAGGTGAGCTTCGGTTTGCTTTGTTCTGGCTTCTCCCTCAAATTGGTTCTAGAACTTTCCTAGAAATAACCCATTTCTGTGACTCTAATTGTACTTTGCTTTTTTTTTTTTTTTGTTATCAGTGCAATAGATTTCTTCTTCTTGTTTAGAAGATATTTTTAGATGGTAGATAGACACAACATCTTTACGTTTTTATGTGATGCTGAGAATCAAATCCAGCACCTAACAAGTGTCAGGCAAGTGCTCTACCATTGAGCTACTGCTCCAGCCTTACAGATTTATTCTTTAAAACTTTGTTCTGTCAGCTCTATGAGGTTGGGAAGGGAAACCCTAATACATGTTCTCATTCTACCTTCATGAATCAGAAGGCCCTCAATTGTTATTTGTGAGTTATCTGGAGTCATGAGCATTATCCTTTCTTGGTCAGGTACCTCAATGTACCACAGAAAATAAACTTGAATGAAATTCAAATAAAAACCCCAATGACACACACCTGTAATCCCAGTGGCTTGAGGGGTTGAGGCAGGAGAACTGCAATTTTAAGGGCAGCCTTAGCAACTTTAGCAAAGCCCTAACTCAAAATAAAAAAATAAATGAGGGCTGGGACCTTAGCTCAGTGGTTGAGTGCCCCTAGGTTTAATCCCTGATACCAAAGAAAACAAACAAACAAACAAACAAAAACTCCAAAAGTGGATTTTGAATGGCACTAAGCTTACAAATTTACCATGAGACCTTACACCTACAGAATACTGAATTTCCATTTATTTAAATCTTCTGTTACATTTTTCACACATGCCCTTGCAGGTTCATATCCATGTGCTCTACAGGTGCCACCGTGAAAGGAGTTTTATTCTCCAGTGTGTTCCACAGCTACACACAAAGGGGTTACAACCTGACAACCTAATCTGCAACCTGACACTTTACTGATTTCTCAAGACTTAGTAGCTATAAGTTGATTTCTGCAGTTCACTCTTATATCTTCAAACACGTCCTCTCTTCCTTTAGTTGTACACATTATTTTGATTTCTTGTCTTATTACAACGGCTAGATCTTCTAAAATAAATACTAAGTAATAGTGTTGTATATAGATTTCTCCATTTCTTCCTGGTGATTACAAGAATTTTTCTACTATGTAATTATTACACATGATGTGGAATATTTTCTTTACCACATTATATACGTATTCTTTCATTTCTAGTTCATGAATAATCATTAGGAATTTAAAATTATGAGTTGATAAATTAAGGAGGAATTTTACCCTTAAGCTATACCTTTTATTACAGCAGTAGACTTATTTATCTTTTTATTTAGCATTTGATGGACTAATGTGAGTTTTTTATAAAAATAGAAAAAAATGCAAAATAAAGATAAGCAGTGTTTTGGGCACAGAGTTGTAGGGTGTGATAAATACTTTATAGTAACACTCTTAAGAAGAATATTATTAGAATACCGAATTCACATGCCTTGTTTTCTTCTAAAAGCTCAGAAGTATCCATTTATGAGAAACAAATGTGCATTTTATTCTTGCTCTCAAAAACTGTTATAAAGGCTGTTAGAAAAAAACCTATAAAATTATAGAATTATAGAAAATTCAAAGTACAGAAATAGGTCACTTAAAGTCCCAAGAACTTAACATTTTGCTAACCTGAAGGATACTGTGCATATTAGAAGACGAAGATTAAGTTGTATGAACAGCTTTCAAAGACAGAGTCTGGAAAATTCTACATATTACTTCAACATTCTCTTACAACACACACATGTCCATGTAAAACCAGGAACATTTCTGGATGTGATCTGATGCTCTCAATGGAAAACAGACTACAGAGTACCTGTTTTATCTGTCAATAAGTACACGAGGCGCCCCAGTTCCTCTGGTATAGTGCTGGTCCGAACGACTGTACCAGGGATATTCTCATCTTTCATGATCATCCATCCATAGGCTGCTTTGCCCATATCCAAGTTCACACGTAAACTGCCAAATAAAACCATCACAGTCATTAGTGCACGCAGATCCACATAATACATTCATACTTGTGATTTCATGTAAAATACTTACTTAAATGCATTCTTTAAATTTTTATAAAAATATATAGATAATATTGGATTTCAGACTTTAAAGTAAATGGATCTGAAGACTTGAAATTGACAAATGCTTTTACATCCCTCATAGTGTTTGCCAGTGACAGGCAGTGGGCAGCACCTTACTGCATGTGGTTAACAACACCAGATGGAACAGAGAGGCAGATGGCTTTAAGGCCCATTCAGGCACAGATCACCACGAGGCTCATTCATATGGAGGAAATCAAGTAGTGATCACTGCAAATATAAATGTGAAATCGGTCTTAAGGTTTATCCACTCATTTTACAGCTATTAATTGACTGTCTCCTGTGTTCCAGGTGCTTAACAGTAAAATACAAGAATAAACAAGTAATGACAGGATCAATACAAAGGAATCAGTTATGCCACTCCTGGTTTTTTGGTTATTTTAAATATTATATATTTTAAAGGTGTATAGATTGTGTATAAGAGGTGTATAAGATTGTGATTTAAAATCCACAACTGGGGGCTGAAGTTGTGGCTCAGTGGTGAAGTGCTTGCCTGGCACATGGTAAGGCATTGGATTCGATCCTCAGCACCACATAAATACTACATGGCCTTCATTTTATTTTTCTGAATCATAGAATTTCTCCAAAGCCCAAATGAAAGCAGGGTCCACAGAAAAATGCTTTTCTTTTTCTTTCTTCAAATCTCCCCTTATCCTAATTCCATGCTGAACCATCTTGTGGCCTCACAGCCCTTGAAAGCAACATCCTCCTGTGTGTTGAGCAGTTCCTGTGTGGAGCCCTCTACTGGATGCTGGCTGTATGGAAATGCATTGGTTCATCACACCTAATGAAGAGAGATTTTGTGTGGCCCATGTGACATGGGAGACCTCAAGCACAGAGATTTAGGTAGCATGCATGTGAGTAGCTATGGGCTGTTGACTGGATGCCACTGGTCCTTCCTGGAAAGTCATTTTGAGTCACCTTGCTTAGTGGCTGTTATCTTTCATTAGTTTGTTTCACCGTTCTAACAGGACTGTGAGTAGCTAAGGATGTTGAGGGGCTGGTTTGAAAGGTGTGTGTAATTGTCAGTTCCAGATTTTCTTTCCAACTATAATTTTTAAAATGTGACTTTATGAACAAATAAATAAATTATGATTATTTACTGCTCTTTAACTTATAGACTTCTTGACTGTGATTCCCAAAGAGTATTTGTCAAGTGTGTGTTTATTAACAGTCTGAACCACGTGAATTGCCATTTTGGTAGGTCAAAAATGGTTTGAGTATCCGCAGTTTCCCTGATAGAGTCAGACTAGGCAGGGCTAAATGTTCTGAGTGACATGTGGGAGAAACAGGGCCTGCCCACAGTCTATGTGGTGCAGTGTCAGTGTGTGTGCTTCTGTAGCCTCTTTAGTGAAGGCCCGGAGGCCATCCATTCCAGTGCTTCCAGATGAAACCATAGCAAAATCAACCAGGTAGGACAGACAGTTGTGGATTAAAAAAAAAAAAAAAAAAGAAAAAGAAAAATATATATCATACACACACACATATATATACATACATACACATATATACATACATACATACATATATATTAGTTGTATATCGACATAGAGCAGGAAGTGGGTGGCAAGGAAACCGGACACCTGTGAAGCTTTCCCTAGCTCTGATCTTTTGGCCCAGAGAGCTGCACTTTGGAAAACTAAGGTGTGTTGTGCCCTTTTGGATTCTGGTCAAATTATTTTGGCAAATGTCAGCCTGCCATAGCTATTGTAATGCAAATGGATTCCTGTCCTTAGCCGGACAGGCACTTTTGAAGAGCTTGGAGTCTGTTGGAAACCAAAGCAGCACCTTCAGGTTCCTCTTCATGAACAATTTATGGTTTAATAAATTAACTTCTGTTAAAGAGTAGAGGAAATTTATTATTTTATGGAATATAACATTATACATAATCACCACTGGGACATTTGGGGTTGAATACAAATACCCTTCAGGGACCATTCAAAGTAGAAGCTTCTACTGGAAAAGAGAAGAGAGAATATCTTTAGAGAAATAAAAAATAAGAAGAATGACTGCTTACAGTTTATGTGAAAAGCAGCGTAAACTTTATCTTTCCTGAACCAAGACATTAATCATACATAGGGTGTTCAAGATTCACATGTACTGTGATCCATTTTGTGTATTCTGATTAAATGCTAATGGAGTAATTTGTTTTTAATGTTAAAAAATCTCTAAGACGCTCCAACTTAATCACTAAGCTGGCAGACTGATTCACAACTTGCTGCATTTACATTTTAAGAATGCTCTTAATTTTTTAGAATTTCAAATCCTAGAATTCTCTCCAACTGTGATAAAAGTGCCAAACTGTGATATGGTCTGTGACTTCCAGAAACACACATGCTACTGTTCTGAGAAGGATTACAGAACTAGGTTACATGATAATAGATATCAATTACAGTTTAGGTTCATTCCATTGCTGATGTAGCAACTGTGAAACTGTTACCAACAGACCTATTCCAGTAAGTGGAATTCATTTGTAATTTAAGATGGTTAACTGAACCAGGAGGCAATTATGACTTTTAATGCTATCTAATCAGAAAAATGAAATGAATTACCCTAAATAATAGTGTTCAGGGATGTTGTAAATAATCACATGCATGAATCTGGATTTTGCTACAGTTAGAATACATGAAGTAAATTTTAGAATGAAGGAACGCCTTCAAAATGGTTCTTGTTCTCCAAATAGGCTAATCCTATCGCTACAAAAATGTCTGAGGAGGTCACCCAGACTCCAGATACACTTGCAGTGCGCGTCCCTAGTCTACACACTGGGCTCCCACATAGGCCCCTGAATGCTCATTGCATTTAAGCTCAACCTGCATCACCTCCAGGTAAGCCCAGCCCCATAGCCCATCTCCTTAGGGAAAGAATCCATCTGAAATAATGTACATGCAGATTCTGATTTGAGCAAAAGAAAACAGAAGCTATTTCAATCAGAAGTTTTACTAAAAGCATTCAAAACTTTTCCTGTAAATTTTAAGGCCACGAGGGCACATATGCCATTTAATCTGAACATTTCCCCAAAGCTTTCATTCTATGATGGTTTTTTTACACTCTGGAGAAACACCCATGGACAGCAGTAGATGGCACCAAAGCATTTTCACAGGGTCAGTCACCCAGTACAATCACAGCAAGACAGTGTATAAATCTCTAGGTCTTGTTTAGGTCACCTTCTGGCCTTCAAACAGATGTGCTCAGGTGCCTATGGGCTGACTAACCTGTGAACACTGCACCGAGGTGGTTAACATGCCCACTTCCTCCCTTTCCTGGTCAAACAAAATGAAAACAAATGAATCTTCTCCTTCTCGGTAGGGAGGAAATCTTCTCCCGTCAATGCACACTGTGACCCACCCATCTCCAGCCAGAGTTTGAGCAATGCCAGGCTCCTTTGCCCTCTCCTTCCAAAATCCGAGGGGATCAAGACCTCCTGCTAACTCCACTGCAGACTTCCATGTCCTGGGAAGAAAGCAAGAGTAGGTGACCTCTACATTCTTGATGTTCAGAATGACTCATATTGATCCCTAATTTTGACATGTACTAGTTCCAAGATCTAGACTGAAAATAGACTCAATCCCTGTGAGCCTCAGCAAGGCCTGTCAGATGCCAGGTGCTGGGAGGTCAAGTTGAGGGTCAGGAATGATGTGCAAAAGTGGGAACTGAGAGCAATGCTCATGGGCTGGAAGCAGTCACTGGTCTCAACAGCCAGCAAAAAACATTGCAGAAAAGGTGGCCCCTGAGCTATGTTGGGGAGGGCGGGCCTGTCACACAGGTGTTTGGAAGCCAGTGGCCAGCAAAGCTCAGAGCTCAGAAGGTGTGTTGGGTGCCTCAGTTATACATGCATGTAATGCTACATGCGTCAGGTGACTCAAATGAAGACAGAGAGATGTCCGGAGGTGTAGTGAGCTCCAGTGGGCTTGTATCCACTGCAAATAAACAAGCAAGCCAAGAACCCCAGTGGATACCTGAAAATGAAAACAGTACCATGACCTGATGCTACGTTCTCCCTACACATAAACCACCAACAAAGTACACAATAAGCACAGTAAGAGATTCACAACAGTGACTACGAATAAAGTAGAAAAATTATTAACAATATGTCGTAATAAAATTTATATGAATGTGCTCTCTCTGAATATCTCAGTGTATCATTTAATATGTTCAGGCTGTGGTTGATCGTGGGTAACTGGAGCTGCAGAAAATGAAAATGTGAATAAAGGGTACCACTGAAAGACTTCATCACATGAAGAACAGATGAGAAAACTCAAAAGTAGGTGGTGAAGAGTCCTGCCTTGGGCCACACGGAAGTTATCCACACAAGAATATAACTCTTCACTCTGACTCTAGGGAGCTAGGTGCCAGCCTCTGGGCTGGGCACTAACTCTCCTGGACCAAGGCTGAGGGTGGTCTATATTGTTATGATTTCTTATTTTAAAATTACTTAGAACTCAGGAGAAGTTACACGAATAGGACAGAGAACGCCTGTGAGGTCTTTCTGGAAACCAGGTCCCTAATGATGCTATTGTGTGTAATACCACCGTGCAATACCAAAGCAGGGGAGCTATGCACCACAATCAAACCCAGACATCACTGCTCATATGGTCAGCTTTAGCATCTTGCATACATATGTGGAACCACCAATGGACGATACCTCAGCAATCACACCCTTCTAGCACCTGTCCTGGGAAAAGACTGACTGGCTCTCCACTGTAGGGCAGGCCCACGATGGCATGGTAGGCACCCTCACCTAGGCTTCCAGTGGACTATGTTTTTAGCATGCAGCCGAGGACATGAACACCCTGATTTTGCTTGAGAGCATGAACCCACCTATTTGCACTGTGCCTTCTTTGTCTGGCCGGCACATAAAAAATG